TCTAATGTGCCTCAAAGCTTTATTATTTTTTTGTATGGTGATATCATGTTAACCAGAACTCTTCTAACTCCTACAGACTGATTCTCACTGATTTTTGACACTAATGTGTCCTCTTCATGTGTTTTGTCCAGTTTGTTGCAGGACTACCTTCAGGCCATAGAGGGAGTGAAAAAACACCTTCTGAGAAAGACGGGGCCCAACATGTTGACCTTTGTTGGAGAGTTGTCCAACAACCGCTTCAACGCTAAGATGGTACTGAGTGTAGAAACACTGTCAAGTCATTTACAGACAATGATTATCTCGTTCAATCAATCAGCCTCTTTGCTTTTGTCAGATCTGTAGTTGTACAAACTCCTGTGCCGTCTGTCCAATCAGCTCCAGCTCTCATCACGGCTTTTTCCTTGTGACTGTGCCTTTTTTTTTCCCTCAGGATCACCTGGTGTGTTTCCTGCCAGGGACTCTGGCTCTGGGGGCCCACAACGGCCTCCCGGGAGACCACATGGATCTGGCTGTGCAGCTGATGGAGACCTGCCACCAGATGTACGTTCAGATGGAGACCGGACTGAGCCCCGAGATCGCACACTTCAGCCTGCAGTCCACCGACGGGCGAGATGTCATCGTCAAGGTGAGGCTAAGAGCACAAAGATGTTACTGGGTTGTCCTCTAACTTTAGTTCTTGTGTTTATTTATGTTGTGGTACTTTTACTGTAAAGGTTTGTTCCTACATTCTCTACAAAGCACCTTAACTAAGACACGGCCGTGCTAGAGACTTGGTTTACGCGTGAGATAAAGGTAATGTCACGTTCTAAAATAACTCCAAGGTCACTCACAGTGGAGCTGGAGGCCAAAGCAATCAAATTTCTACCTTCAGGAAGGTTACGGCGTTGGTTTAAACTGTTTCCCGAAGGTGTTCATTAATTTTGAGCACTGCGGTTTGTGGTGCCGTTGAGTTGTACCGCATCACACTGAAAGCTGTTTTCAAAATACTTCCTTATTATACAGATGTATGTGCATGTAAACATGCTCAGTTAAAGTTTGTCTAAAAATGCTCAAACACTTCATTCAAAATTTGGCTAAAGTTGAGTTTTCTAAAGGCCTAAACAAACCAACAGATAAACACAGTGATGAATGTACCACTGGACAGCAATCATGGAAGTTATTGTGTCTTATTCAAATCTCTTTTTCTTTTGTGAATTCAAATTGATGTGCCTTTGGAAGTCTTTCTTTCACTATTGAAAACACAATCTGCAATTTTTAAACCGGTGAACAGGAAGAGCTGGTACCTGCCGAGAAAACGTGTAAAAAAAGAAAAACATGAAGTGAAGTTTTAATCAGCTGCTCTCCATTTGTTGGGAGAGTTGTGACCATCGGCCTCCTCGGGGCTCGTTTTTCATTAACAGCTCCAGGTTTATCGACACGTCCAATGTTTTTGCTCTTCATTAACCTTAAATATTATTATGAAGCACTTTTAACATATTTTCGTATTCTGGGATTAAAGACTAAGGAAACAAATGTTAGGTCCTGAGGGCTTTTTTTATTCCTTATGAGTAATTTAGAGTGAACCAACCACTGCTAAATACTCACCTGGTCGTGTTTATTTAACAGATTTCTAATTTAAAAATTCTTTTTTTAAATCTCTCTGGTCCATGTAGATAAAACTAATGCAGCTTTTCAACTCTGTTTTCTTTTTATAGCACCAAATCATAACAAATGCTCACTCAGGGGACTTTAACATCGTAAGGTCAAGACCTTGCATTATTACAGAGAGAAACAATTCCCCCTTGAGCAGACGGTCGGGGAGGAAAAACTCCCTTTTTAGCAGGAAAAACTGAAAACACAAGCAGACTCAGGGGCGGCGACTAACTGCCTCGAAGCAGACGGCGTGAAAGAAAAGATGAGCCCTGAAAAACAACAAACAATGAGCGCTAAGCAGGTTGTTTTTGGCCGGTAAGCGTGGATCAGAAACATGCAGCTCTGCAGTTGGAGATACACGCTGAAAGGCAGAAAGAGGACGGAGAGGACGAAGCTCAGGCTACAGGGGAGAGAACACATAGAGTTAATGATGTGCAGTAGAGGTATATAAATTCATAGTGTTGAAAGAGAGGAGAGGAACGGTGCTCTGTACATCCTGAGAAGTCCTATAGCAGCTTAACTAGGGATGGTTCAGGGTTATATGGGCAGCTCTAAGTATAAACCTTATCAAAAAGTTATTCATTTATTCAGTCATGCTTTATTTACATCTCGAGGAATCATTGAAAACATGCCCTCATTTACAAAGATATACATTCAACAGAATAAGAATTTATTTTTATGACCCTTTACAGCAGCTCAAAGGGTGACCAAAGTGCTTCACGGTGAAAAACAAAAGAAAAATAACTTGACAGAAGCAGTGATCATTGGTTTAAATTGATCAACAGGTAGAGCTGCACCAAGCTTCCATGTTTGCTGCAAAGAGTGAGTACAGCAGAAAAGCTCAAAGCAGTTTTAGGGATTTTGGTGTTGGTATGCGAAACTTCAAGCTTTTGCCCGAACGACTGGAATAATGATTTTGGTGCCGACTTATCAAGGAAGTTATGCATTGCAGCATCTTGCCATTCAGTGCCTTCATAAATAAACAGAAGCTAATGTATCTGGACTCACTGCTGAGGACGGCCGGCCAACTTTTTGGTACAATAGGCAGTGATGAGTGGAACAGTTGTCACAGGTAATGAATGTGAGAGCTGAGTGGTGAACTGGATCCAGGCTTTCAGAGTGGAGGTGGAGGCATTTCTGCAGATGACGTCAACGTCGTGTAGGACAGACAAGAAGACGGCTTTAGTTATTTTCTACACCAGACAAGTGGCTCTGTTTCTGTTCTGCAGTAGCTTACAGATTAGTGTATCAATATAAGATTTAAATGTGAGTTTCTGATCCAAATAGATGCTTAAATAATTATATTCCAATACTCTCTCAGTGCTCTGCCCAACCTGATCTTCATAATTTATAAACCAAATCCTAAGAATAAGTAGGATGTCTGCCTCCTGAACCCAAACTGAGAGCTGCAGCTGAAGGTTCTGCATCCCATTCTGCTTTTGAAAACTCCTATAATAAGCCTGCAGTCTGAGAGCGACGTGCTCTATTGGGATAATGTGGTGCTGTGATGTCTATGAGATACGATGGAGGCTGGTCATCAAGGGTTTTGTATGTGAGCAGAAGGATTTTAAATTCTATTCTGGATTTTACGGGGAGAAACTAACAAGAAGGAAATAACATCATTCTCTGCGGTTCATGTCGGCACTCTCTGCAGAATTCTGCATTAACTTTTCAACAAGGTATTGGGACACCCTGATAATAAGGAAACGCAGGAGTCCAACCCAGAAGTAACGAATGCAGCGAGCAGCTTTTCAGCATCACTGAGAGACGGGATGTTCCCGAATCTGACGAAGGAGAGAGACGGCTTGTCCTAAAGACATGGTTTATGAGAGCTAAAGGGCATACCACGGTCTAAAATACCTCCAAGGTGACTCGCAGTCAAGCTGGAGGCCAAAGCAATCAAATCGCTACCTTCAGGAAGGTTGCGGCGTTGGTTTAAACTGTTCCTCGAAGGTGTTCATTAATTTTGAGGGGCTGTGGTTTGTGGTGCTGTTGAATTATACTGCATCACACTGAGAGCTGTTGTCCAGGACTGATCCCAGCTTTATTATACAGAGAGAATAAAGAAAAGGCTTCGTTTGAGAGTGTAAATTCCCTGGCTGTGTCTGTTTGTGTTTGTTTTTAAAAGATATAAAAGATAATACTTGCTCCCAACTCAGGCATCAGACTATCGCCGATTGATTGGAGTTTTCAGAACCACTCAATCGTTCAGTCGTTTATTGTTTTATTTACTTAAATCCATTCTTCACTGATCAGTGGAGCGGCAGAAGCCTTCAAAGTGAACCCAAGACTTTTCGAGGTGCAGTCAAAGGAACATTTTTTGTGTTTTAAAGTTTCCAGAGTCGCATCTCGCCCCGGGAGGTTTTTCAAAATGTCACTGTTTCTTGATTCTTCATGCTCGGAGCCATCACTAATCTCAGCAAAACGCTCTCAGTTTTGTTTCCTCCTCTTTTTTTGTTTTGCTTTTATCTCCTTTCTCCGAAGGCAGCATTGAGAATTTGAGCGCCGCTGAGTCCACCATGTATCAGTCATACACAGAAATTTCAATTTGTCTGTATTTAATCTTGAACGTGGCTCCTGCTCATTGATAAGAACTCTTGAAAGTGGCATTTTTTCAATTTCTGCGAGGCCGCCCGGCGAAATTAACAGTCTGATCTTTATCTGATGCTTTTTTTTTCCTCCCCTCATAATATTTATTGACGACGTCTCCCGTGTCCTCCAGCCTGCAGACAGACACAACCTGCTGAGACCAGAAACGGTGGAAAGTCTGTTCTACATGTACAGATTCACCAAGGACACCAAGTACAGAGACTGGGGATGGGACATTCTGCAGAGCTTCAATAAATACACAAAGGTACGGAGCACACCTCACCACAAAGGTTAATTACTTGTATTAACAGCTTAATTACCTCTAGGAGACTTATATATCTTGGCTTCTGGTTGTCGTCAGTCGTATGTGCTATAATTGTGCAATACGCAAAACAATGTGAACAGATTACTGGGGGTAAGGAGTTTAGAAGGTAATAAAGGAAACTACACCCAAAGCCCTATTTGCACAGCGTTACCTGGGGATGTCGTGTAATTGAGAAACTACCCCCCTCATGTCACTGCTTCGTACAGCGCATTCACACAGCATAAGGGAAGTCATTATCCACGGATCCGCTATTAATAAGCAGCCACATAATAACTGTTGAGAAAGACAGCAAAATGTTCCCCACCCCCTGCTGCCGTGCACGTCGTCCGTCTAATCATCCTTGGAGATTTCGCTCCTCGGATTTATTTGAGGTTTCTGCGAATGGGTCTCGGTGCTCCGTAGCGACACGAGCCGCCCTCAATTTGCACCCAAAAGGCTTCCAAGTTTTCATTTGGAACTGCCAGTGCAGCCTCTATAATTCACAAGAGGGAGCAGGCAGCAGGAGGGAGTGGGGGAAAACAAAAAAGAAACTGCTAAAAAAAACGTCCCAGATCACAGACACCAACTCCCAGAAGACTCATTCTGAGTGGCAGGTGATTTGCTGTGGAATTTTTAATTAGCAAACTACAGCTATGGCAAATTTGCATTAGATTAAGATTACAAGTGACCTCCTTTGTTCTTACAAATGACCAGAATTCATCTAGAAGTGCCAATGCAGCCTCAATAATTCACAAGCGGGAAATAGGCAACGAAAAAGGCTCCAAATCACAGATTCCAACTTCCACACGGCTAATTCTGAGTAGCAGCTGATTTGCAGTGTATTTTTTTACTTCACAAATTACAGGTATTGCAAATTCGAACAAGATTAGCATCCAGAGGTCTCTGTGTAATACTAGTCTTGTGCAATTAGGGCTAGTCATTCAGTTGATTTGTTTGTTGTTGCAGGGGCAGCTCACAATTCAAAAGAAATTAGCTCGCAGCTAATTTGCATCTGTTGTTCCGTGGGCAGGAACAGAACAAAAAAGAAGAACCACAGAGCAACTAAATACACTTCATAAAACAGCACAGAGAGTGAAGGTTCATCAGTGTGAGGTGAAAGATACAGTCAGTTAAAATGGTAAATACAAGGTAATCAGTGGTGCTGACTGATCTGGAGGCTGGTTTTAAACACTGCGACGCCTCCTGAGTCTGCAATGTTTCCACTTTTTCACTGCTTTAACTGAAAAAAACAGATTGAGCTGTGTTTCTGGACTGCGATAACCTCCAGTAGACGCTCTGGTCCCACCTGCTCTGCCGCTGAGAGATTAAGAATCATTTTAAACAGCAGGCATGCATCAGAGTAAAGTAGAAAACTGTCTAAAAGTTTTTGGGGAGAAGCTTAACTTACATCCTGATGGATTCGTCTGCTCTATAGTGGGTTTATTAACTCCGCCTCGACTCCTGCAGGTCCCCGACGGCGGCTACACGTCCATCAACAACGTCCGCGACCCCGCCAACCCCGGGCCTCGGGACAAGATGGAGAGCTTCTTCCTGGGCGAGACGCTCAAGTACTTGTACCTGCTCTTCTCCGACGACGTGGAGCTGCTCAGTCTGGACAAGTACATCTTCAACACGGAGGCCCATCCTCTGCCCATATGGCCGTCCCCGCCCAAGTGAAGTCGCTGTACAGGAGGCGTCTGTAAAGAATCGGGACCACAGAGTCGGGTGCGTCTGAAAGCAACCGTCCAGGCTCATGAAGCAGATCTGTGCTGTCCACCTGTGCTTTGATATGTGAAGGAGTTTTGTTGTAATTTTTGTTTGTTTGTTTTTCTTTATTTTTCCTAAGGAAAAGGTTCGTGACAGAGCTGGTCTCTCATGTAAAATTTTTTAAAGAATCAGATGAGGCGAGCTGGCACACTTAATAACCGGGTGAATGGGATGCTTTGTGTCTGTTTGAATCCTAATTTTTCCTACATTATCTGTCTGCGAAGGAACAAATTCATTGCGTTAAATCACTGATGTTTGAAGGTGCAATAGGCGGTGATGAGAGTAAAAGGAGTCTATCAGCTGCATTTATATTGAACAGATTTTATTTGTCTTACATTGGCGCTTTCTCACATAGAAAAAAAAAAAGAGGCAAAAATCCCTCAGGACCTCTGTTTCTTCTATAACTGCATCCGAAGGGTTTTTAGCAGATTCAGTGCAGCACCAAGGGACCAGATCAGTGCCTCACGTAAATGTGAATTATTCCTAATGCCCGACATGCATGTCTTTTATAGAATAAAGACGTCAAGTAAAGCACTAGGACGTCTATGGCTAGCTGTAATGATTTAAAACCATATTGGTGGTATAATTAATGAAGGCCTGCTCTGCTGTTTGTGTCCAGCTTCCAGGTGTGGAGTTTATCAGACTTCCATCCTCTTGCACTTTTAGGCCACCAGATTAAAGCAACAATAGTTCTATTGATCATTGTTACCAAAATGGAACAAACTAATATATTGCGCTTTGTGCGGCATCGATTTTGGAGCTTTAGATTCTTTAGGATCCTGAAAAATAAAAAAAGTTAAATAAGGTAAAGCTTCTGGTCTATCCATACCTCTTTCTGTTTTTTAAGGTGAACCTGGCTGTGATGTGATTTATGTGTTTAGTAGAAGAGTTGTCGCGGTTCTTTAGATCACATCTACACTGATTAGCCACAACTTTAAAAGCATCTTCTACCATTGTGTTGGTCCAACTGCTGTGAATCACCAAAGAACAGATGAGGGACGTCTAGTGGCTTGCTTTGGGTTGCAAAATGGAGATTTTGTAGATAAAACCTAATCCAACACAACCTGAAGTTTGATTAGATTTGCATCTGGAAGGTTTTGAGGCTGAATCATAGACTGTATAAAAGATGGATGTAGCTACCATGACGTCACCCGTTGGTTTCTGCACTGAGAAAATGAAGCCAGAGTTTTGCTACTTCCTGGTTGACATCTTGGATTTTTGGAGCCAGTGACGCAAAAATCGTGGGAGGGGGGCGGAGCCATAGGAGCAGCGATTGGTCAGACGGATTGAGAGGCGGGCCCTCTCTGCCCCGCCTACATTTACTGCCTTCTGCTCGCTTCGTCTGTATGGTCGCTGCTGACTGTCAATCAAGCCAGCCACGCCCCTTGCCCCGCAAAATGTTGACTATTTTTTAAAAATTCAGTATTGATTTATTTCCAGATTGGCCACCTGATCTCTGGATTTGACTATGAAAACTCAAAGAAAAAAATCCTGAGCTGTAGGAATGCAGTATTTCATGATCTGTGATCACTTTTTTCCAATTCCAGTCTATGGGAGCCAGGGCTTTTTGGAGCCAGCAGCTAGTGGATGTAGTGATATTGCAGGTTTTTGACACTTCCGGGTTGGCTTCATTTTTCAGGGCCGGTTGCTACGTCCATCTTTTATACAGTCTATGGGTTGAATCAGCGTATTGAGCTCTTGGTCGTGTTCCTCGAGCTGTTCCTGAGCAGGGTTTGCTGCCATCATGGTTTGCTTGGTCTGCAGCAGTGTCTGGAATCATGATGGATGTCAGTGGAACATCCACGTGGACACCAATAACCCAAGGTTTCCCTCCATAGTACCGCACTACAGTGAGTGTTGGCTGTCTGTAGTTTTAATGTTGTGGCCGATCGGTGTAGAGCTGAAGAAAGAATGAGAAGGATTTTCAGCTACACAGATAATGACCTCTTGTTTCAGTGATGAATGTGAACATTTTCCCTTCGATTGTATTATTTTGCATTTTCGTTGAGAAGCAGCATTTCTCAGTCGGGGTATTTACATGCTCTATAGTTCCTGGTTTCGATTACATTCACACTTGTTTTGTATTATGTGAAGGAAAATGAATGAAGGCTGCAGTGCAGTCCTGAATTAGCGGTTGCTGTGAAGTCAGATCAAAACAATCGTTTCATGTGTCAGGAACAATATACGGTACCGGCCTCAGTGTAAGACCATATTTTTTCTGGAAATTAAGGTTTGAAAAAGTGGGAATCATGTTATATTTAAGGTCTGTTGCGTGTTCACAACATCAGATCCTGTTTTTGTATGGAGGCTGTGTAGCACACCGTCTAGTGCAGAGTGTGTTGAATTATGGACTGTCTGTGGCCTTAATGTTACCAGTCTCGCAAGTGTTTTCAGTTCTTTCATAGACGAATAGAAGCCGTAAGGTGAAGTATACGCACCCTACATTACCGCGGCGGCGCCTCACTAGGAACCTGCATACAACACCATAATGGACGCACAGGGAGTCACTGCTTGGTCTTTTTTTAAAATCAGGAAACGTGTCCAGTGCTGCTCTGTGCTGTTATCTGCTGCTCCAGAGGGAAACTTTGGTAAACTTTGGTAGAAAAGTCAAAGCCACAAAGCTCTGCTCCATGAAATATATTCTCCTTTTGCTAAACCTCCAGTAAATCCGCTTGTTTCCGTCGCGTTCTGAGCTCCACGTTGACCGCCGACGTCTGGTGAGCCGCCCAGTTCTACTTTTATGGATCCACTTTTTACACAATCATGCATTCAGGATTTTTATATTAAATGTGTTTCATCTAAATGCGATGCGGTAAATTATTGAGCTTGATTATTTAATTTGCCTGGAAAGCAATTCTGCTGGGTTCAGTAAGCGAAGTGAACTTTCATTTTGCTCAGCACTTGACTGGTGGAGGTTGGTCAGTTAGAAGAGGCACAGCTGACTGCAATCAAGCCAGAAAAGCCTGATTTCACCATCAGTGTAAATGCGTTCAGTTCTGCCTCTGCACTAATGGCCGCGGCTCCCGCAAGCGTAACACATAAATCGGCTGTCAGATGCGTTTATAGTGAGTGTTTGGGAGTCGGTGGGCCATGGGAGGGTTGTGATCTCGCAGTTTAGCCTGCAGGAGTTTGATGTGACGAAATAGAAATGAGATCATGATGACTGAAAACCAGTTTGTATCCCGACGTGTTTACAGAATTATGAAGAATTATGGCGTCGGTGGTTGAAGTGAAGTCGGAGAAAGTTTAAATGGTCCGAAACCTGTCGAGATAAACACTGTTGGGTTTATGTGTTTCCTGTATGTGAGAGAAAAGACCACCTTTGATTAATGACACCTCAGGGAAACTGAGACTGTATTTTGTCTGGAAAGAGCGTTTGGGTCCGTAGTCGTCCCATACTTGGGCCGATAGCTGCCCTGTTTCTTGAAGAAGGGGCTTTTTATCTTTTCGTTGAAGGAATTTGACGCATCGCAGTTTACCAAAACCCTGTCAGGTGTTGATGTAGAGCAGCGTGGGGCGGCTTGTTTGTCACACGTCAGACCTGGAAAGTCCGTTTTGAAAGCCTGCTGCCTCCAAAACCCCATTTTTTGTCGCACCAAATCCCGTCGAGCCGTACCGACCCACGTCACTGAATGTCCACTATGTTTGCTCTGCCGTGCCTATCTAGATGTATACTGTTGCTGTCCATGGTGGTTCTGTTTCTTAATTACTGCTGCATCAGTGGTGTTTATCTCTGAGTGAAGAGTTTAATTTAAGGCTTGTATTTTTACTGTGGATGGGTGATTGAACATCGAGGGTGTAAATATTCTTTGTTTAAATGGTTTCTACTGAATAAAACCTGTGTGTCTGCAGGTAACTGAACTTTTTCTGATCTTAATATTTCGTTCTGTCATGTCAGAAATACTGCTTGTTTTGGGGGTTTTTGTGTTATATTATTGATTGCGTTTCATTGCTAAGTTTATGGAAAATGTGACTTCATGGTGGCGCCAGAGGAACAATCATGGAGTTATCACCGAATTCAGACGGTTTCATTACAATCCATGAGACAGTTTTTGAGAGATTTCAGTCTGGACCATAGCAGTCCACTGACTGATGACAAGAAATTCAGTTTTATCTTGTGTTTAATTCCAATATTTGGCCACTTCTTCCATGTAAATCCTTCAATCCTGCATGCAGGAGTCCGATAATTGGTTGATTTTTTTCGTCCTCCCCAACGAAGGGAGAAAAACGAGTCACTCGTACGCCAACATCTGTTCTCCAACTTCCGATGTGTCATTTCCAGTATTTCATGGTTTATTAAATCTTTTTAATTCCTGCTGCCTAAGTAGTGACGAGAAATTTCCACCGGAGCAAAGACGTGCGTTTAATTCCTCTATTAACCTTGAGCGCTTAATGCGAGCAGACTTGACCGTGAATGAAGAGTTACGGCGGCGGAAGAGTCGCTGCTCGTCTCGCGTAACGTTCGCTGTGACTTTGACTATAAAGACGAGCTCAAGGTAAATCATCCACATGTTTACGAACTGAAATCTGAAAGAACATCATGAACACTTGATTGGAAGCTACTTCTACTCATCCCCAGATAACATGGATTACAGGGAAAGCTTCTGACTTCTGGATCTGAATATGGTTTGTTTATTATTCCCAATTTAATTATACCACAATTAATCCTTTCACACTTCAAGGGATAAGGCTGGCATTACTCTATATTTTTTTTTTTAATTCTCCTCAAATCCCCTGAAAACCAACAATGTGTTCGCCAGACTTGCAGAACTTTCTGACTTTTCTGTCTGTGGCGTTTAATCCCAAATCTGCTCCAAATTAATGTGTCAGATGCTTAAAAACGCTCATAAATATGCCGTAAACTGTATTTTCACATTGAAAAGGGCTCCTCAGTGATTCACCCGTACAGCTGGCTACTGCTGGTTTTGTCACACAACACAATTGCGAGGGACAGTTTCAGCGGCGGATTAATGCACATCTGATGCTCGCTGGGAGTCGACATGTCAGCCGGTGCAACAGCGTCGCTCGCTGATGTGTTTTTAATCGGTTTCTTTTTGGATTGCAAATAGAGATCCGTGGCACGGAGGCAAAAGATAAATGAGGCTTTAGGTACGCGGACACAGCTCTCACTGGATTTACCGTTTTTAAAAAATGGCATGTCTGTGGCCACATCGGGGCGTCTTATTACGACATTCTTAAAAGCGATTTTTTATGATGTTTGATCTATATTTGGTTTTATTGGTGCTGAAAAACCTTCAGTTCCTCTGTGTTCTCCAGTCAGATATGACATGCGGCTACTTTATAAATAATCTAAACCTCATTTATCTTTGGTGGAACGCCACCTTTAAGGTCACGTATTCATGATTTTTATGTTGATGACGGCGACAAAGAAGATAAAAGACCAGAAGTGACTCATTTAGCTGCACAGTAAGCTCCCCACAGAGGCTATTTAAAATCACTCTGCTTTCTCATTTCACATCCTAATTATTTTTCACGGCTGATTCTTCCACATAAAAGAATAGTGGCTTTTTTTTTTTAAAGCAAATTGGGTGGCCTGATCTCACATTTTTATAAAATTGTAGTCAAAGCGATTCTGCAGAAGTTGCTTTGCAAAATCTTGTTTGGAGCTTTTTGAAGCAAGTGGAGGGTTTAATGTACAGTATTTTGCCAGCTGATTGGTTGAAACTCCCACTTGCTGATGCTGATTATTCTGATTAATGTGATTATTACTGAATCCAAGCCATAGCAACGGTGACAGCTCTACTATTTGACCAGAGTCGTGGGCGATGAAGCGTTGGTGTTCATAGCTT